TTCTGTTGAACACAAAAGAAGATATTTTGAAAAATGTTGGGATCTATCTAAACAGTTGATGAGAACCATTGACTTCCATATTATTTTTTTTTCCCTACTATGGAAGTCAATGGTGCTCATCAACTGTTCAGATCCCAACATTTTTCAAAATATCTTCTTTTGTGTTCAACAGAAGAAAGAAACTCATACAGGTTTGGAACAAGTGGGGGGTGAGCAAATGATGACAGAATTTTCATTCTGAAAGTGAACTACTCCTTTAAATGCAGCTCATTGGTAGCATAATTGCATTTACAATACAGTAAAATTACAATTGCAATTGCATCAATAATGTTATGAGGTTAAAGTTTTAATTATAGAAATTTTAATGTAGAAATATGACATGTCAGTAGCTGTCCCAAATTACATTGTACGCTTTGTACGCTCGTACTGTGTGTCTAGTGTATGGCATTTAGACAACTTGCTTGTCATCAATTACATAATTAACATAATTAAAACTGAGTACATGAAGTGTCCAAAATTCTGTGTTGGAATTTTTAAGTGTGAACACAATATTTATATTACAAAATGGCATAGTGCATAAGCATATGAATTGGGATGCACCTACAGAATCATTCATTCATTCAATACACATTAAGCTGCCTATTGCGTCATCAGTGCTTTTCTTGGCCGTGCTTCTCAGCCGGGTGCTTTAAAGGTAGCAGGGCTTCATATAGTGGATAATGGTTAAATCTGTCAGCAATAAGCAATATGCAAAACTAAGGGTTCAGCATAAGGTTCAGCAAGACTTGAAAGTTTATTACAATAAAGGGTCTGGCCCATAATTGTAAAAAAAAATGTATTCCCTGAACATAAGCATGTTTAAAGACAAATGACCATAAAGTGAAATATAACTTATGCTCACCCTTAATCTTGATAGAGATAGATATAGCACAATGGAAGTAAGGGTGGGGATTGCAGAGCCTTTGACCTCAGAAACTTGTTTTGAGACTTGATTGGCCTTTTCATGAAAAAAAGAACAAATAAGAACAAATACAAATAATATTCAGACAAAAAGTTACTTTTTTGTTTAAAAAAATTACCTGCAGTCTGGGGCTCAGGGGATTTCATCCTCTCATCCTCTTTAAGTTGTTGACTGATGAATAGAAAGTGATAGACAGTATGATTTTTTTGTAAACAAACTTCATATTTAAAAAAAAATAAACAATGTAATTTGATGTTAGATTAGATCAAATGCCAACCATGGATATCAAAATCACATTTTTCCCCCAGTGTAATGTTAGTTTTTTAGCATAGATAAATATTTATTTTAATTTCTTAAGCATAAAAAAATTATCAATTAATAAAAGAATATGAAAAGTGTGCTCACCAGTCTAGCCATAAATACTCTCTGTTGCCTTGTGAATGGTTGTGACCTATAATAATATGGGAAAAACAATTACATCTTTACTTTAAACATGTAAGGGACAATTTTTAATATCACTCTTGAGTGTCAGTGTAACAAAAGACAAATGCAAAAATCTTTATGGTCAGATGAAATCTTTATGGCCAGATGGTAGTTTTTAAAAATGTGAACTATAATTATGAAGACTTGCTTCTTAATTAGCACAGACAGCCAGTTTGTGGGAAGTGTTTTCCTTGCAGAACTCTACAAATGTAGTCCTTCTTACCTATGATTGGACTAAAAACAGATTGATATGTGATGCCAAGAGCTTTGAGATTCCCTCCAGTGGTCCAAGGTTGCTTGGGTAGGGAGAGTAACTTGGTGAAAGGCTGCAGTTCAACACCTACAGACACAGATATAAAGTTCACTTAAGGAAATATTACTTTTATACCAATTTTGGCCACCTGAAATACTAAAACAATACCTTTAAATAGCTTATAGTGAATGTTGTAGA